AGATCATGCAATGCTATTATTTGTTTATTGATTGTTATGAACCTGCCTGAGGACCACAGATGGAAATTAGCTATTAGCTATAATCTGGCATCTCTTCTTTTTGCTGAGATTAATGTTTTTGTATGCATGGTCCTTCTATAAATAAATACAAAAGTCTTTTTCCTTAGATTCCTTAGACTCTGCAACTGCATTCTGCCGCCCTTTACTACGTATTATTAATGATCCGTTTAACAGTATCGCACATAAGGAACCAAACTTCATACCAGGATAAAAAAGAAAACAGTTCAGAGGCTCTCATGATAACAGTATCTGGTTCTTCAATCAGTGCACTGCAAGGTGTAAATCTCTCCTCAGCTAACGGTGCCTTTGTGACATTTAATTCCTATGGTGGAAGTACTGCAAAATCAGTACCTACCCAGGGTGTCAGGAGGAATTTGTCCTATGTAATGTGTGTGTGTGTGTGTGTGTGTGTGTGTGTGTGTGTGTGTGTGAGAGGATGTATGTTTCCTGTCAATGAAGAGTAGTCGTCTTATTTCCTGTGTTTAAACATTTCTACCCAAACATTTTCATTGGCCCCGGAGCTGATTTTCACCATCAAAAACAGCGTGGCCATGCCAGCCGCGGTGTTTCCTCAGCTGGTGGGTAACCTCCACTCCTCACGCATCCCTCCCTCTGCCATCAATTTCCTCCTACCCTTCCATCTATCAACACCCGAATGGGAAGTCAACATGACCCACCGTGGCACAAAGTCTCTGCTGTGAGCTAAAGTCAAACTAAATCAAACGTGATGGACAGGAAAGCAAAATATACTCTGGACGAATAAACCTTTATAGCTTCTCAGGACAATAGAGTGGTGCAGGAATGATTCCTAAAACCCCCAAAGTAGTGGCATTTTACCACTTCTGGTTCGCTCCTCTGAAAGTCAGTGGTTTTTGAATGTGTTTTTGGTTATTATCCTGAAATAAGGTTTGTGGTTAACACAAGCTGAAGAAAACGTTATTCTACAACAGTAAATATGTCAGCAAATACCCGACTCAGGGCCGTCCCTGGCCATCATGAGGCCCCACGCAAAGTTATATGATGATGCCCTCTGTTTCGCGAGCGTCGACGGGGGGGCGCATGGTGCTAGTGGAGCCTCGCAGCGGCGAAACCCTGCCGCGCCACACTAATTGCGCCGCATAAGCGCATAGGTGCGCCGCATTTTCGGCTCAGTTGAGGCACCCTCTGCAAGATGAGGCCCCACGCAGTCTGCATGATCGGCCTGTAAGGAGAGGGACGGCCCTGACCCCACTGGTGAATTTATAAACAGCGGTTGCTAACAAGTGTTTAAAAGTGACGACTAAACTTCATCACGCGTAACATTAGCCTCCTTTAGCTTAGCGGTGGTGACGTGAAGTCATGTGACCGTGCTGTAGTTCCTTTATAGCCCAACATTAGCCGCCTTTAGCTTAGCGGTGGTGACGTGAAGTCATGTGACCGTGCTGTAGTTCCTTTATAGCCCAACATTAGCCGCCTTTAGCTTAGCGGAGGTGACGTGAAGTCATGTGACCGTGCTGTAGTTCCTTTATAGCCCAACATTAGCCGCCTTTAGCTTAGCGGAGGTGACGTGAAGTCATGTGACCGTGCAACCCAGTCTTACAGTCTTATAGTCACGAAATGTATCTATTGATTCGTGTTAACCAACACGATTTCCCCATTTTTTTTCGTGTCGCACAGAACGATGTTCAAAGCAATGTAAATAATAACAAATTAGAAGGAAAAACAGATTAAAAAAAATACAGCTTTCAGTATTCTGAGGCTCTGAGCCCCATTTATTTTCCTCGCGGACAGCAAAAAAAGTCCGACATTATACAATTTAAAATAAAAACGATAATCGTGGCTTGATATTGAGTAAGAAAATGTTTTTATGAACCACACAGCTTCTGGTCCGGGTTTTAGGGTGCGTCACTGCACCACTCTATTACACGAAATGCCGTCAGACTGTGTTGTACCTTTATAGTCCAACATTAGCTTAGCGGTGTTGACGTAAATGTTTATTTATTAATTGATATTTGTATAAGCTAATAATCTAAATAATTGAAAGGCTGTCAGATACATTTAGTGGAAGAAAAAGTACAATACTTGCTTCTGAAATGTAGTGGGGTAGAAGTATGAAGAGGCATAACATGAAAATACTCACTTAAAGTACCTGGAAAGTGTACATTTCATTTATCATTAGAGTCCAGCACTGTACATTTCTATGTCCACCCTGCGTGTGAAGCCTGATGGAGTCCTGCTCCTCTGTCCAGGGGAGGAAAGTGTTGTGAAAAGCTTAAAAAGGACGTCTCTCTTCACCATCTGGCTCTCAGAAGTGTCTCTGAACACATCATGGCTCCATTAGTTCCACCTCCGCTCCGCACCGATGTGATCTCAGAGGGGCCGGCACTCCCCGGGGACCCCTAACCACCCAGGCTCCAGAACAAATAGCTCGGAGATTACGCACTCGTCTTTATGGCAGGTGATTCCTGGCCCTGTTTCAACTTCAAAGTTTCAGAGCGTTGTTGGCTTCCTCGTCTCCAACCTGCCACGTAGTTGGGTTCTTGGCGGGGTCCAGAGTGAGGTGAGGTCGCTGAGGTGGGTGTGTAGGTGAGCTTTGATGTTTGGGAAAGGAATTGAGCAATGAAAGTGTGTTCATATAGTTATATAAGCTTCTGTGTTGCACATAACTACGGTGGCTGACAGGTGCAAAGTCGTCTTTATTGTCAATCTTTCAGTTTGTGTGTACAGACAGAGAGATCGAAATACCGTTTCCCACAACCCCGAATACAATAACAAAGATATATAAAAATATGCATAAAAAGAAACAACCCGTTACAACGGCCCAAAACGTTTCCATTATGATATGCTACAGATTCAGAAACGATGCAAATATAGAAACTAAAATGTCCCAAAACGCATGAAATGAAGAAACATCTCTTTACCAACTAGACATAAAAGTGCTGCATAAACGAAACGCTGCATGAAGCTCAAAAGACAACGGAAACCAGGGGACACTAAAAAGTGACGCACACAGCTGGGAGACCAGGGGACAGGAGAGGCTTCTCAATACTCAAATGTCCCCTCCTCGACTCCCCTCCTCGGTTCCCCTCCTCGAGACTTAGACCCGCCCACAGGAGATGCGAGCGGAGGACCGAGGAGGGGAACCGAGGAGAGAGGAGGGGAAGCAGCAGACGTTTAAAGAAATGAGAACTCCTCTCCTCTGAGCGGTCATTTTAAAGAGACGTCCGTTCATTATTACGTGGCAACAGCTGCATCAGCTGTCGAGTGTTTTGTCATAGCCTGTATCTCTGTTAGATCAGCTGAACATTGTTCCCCCACATATTTACTTTGAATTCATTGAGAGTGCGGTATAATGAGACAATAACAGGCTACAGATGCGGACACACACACAAATATATTTATATAAATATATACAATTTAAAGTATGAGAGCACTCTCATAATAACGTAACACAATCAGAGACTGGATATACCCCCCCCTCTCTCTGGTCGCTGAAATGGGGAATTGAAATTACGGGCCAAAAGTTGTATTTACAAGTAGGCCTATTAAAAGTAAGCAGAGGACCCCAAACCAACTGAGACCCGTCTGTCCGCCGCATTTACGTACTGTACAACACACACCTACACACTGTACCACACACACCTACACACTGTACCACACACGCCTACAGCTCCTAAAGCATAAGCCGTTGTGTATTTTATTATGTGAAGCACTAAATGGTCTTAGAAAAATATCGACTCTTTGTTTGTAGATATCTACTAAACTAAAGCAAATAAAGAGAGTAGGCCTGTTATACTGAGTGATATTATACACAGTGCTCTGCTTTCTGCACGGACCTCACATCTGTTCTCTCTGGAAACATCGCGACGCGATGAAAGCAGTTTCTAAAATAATATCCAGGGGATGCATGCATAGCTGTCATTGGCTGAGATAAGTCCGGCCGTGCGTCACGCCTCCACCGTTCCCGGAAATGCATCCGTGGAGGAGCCGTGGAGGAACCATCAGTGTATCCTCGGTTAGTGCTCCTCCAGAGAGCCTCCTCGACGCTCGATCCTCGGTGTGCATTTAGAGAAATGAGATGTCCTTCAAAATGGCGCGCTGAAATTCATTTCCGGGTCACTACCAGAGGACCGAGGACCGAGGAGTCGAGGAGGGGAAATTTGAGTATTGAGAAGCCTCTACAGAGTGATGCACACAGCTGGGAGACCAGGGGACACTAAAAAGTGACGCACACAGCTGGGAGACCAGGGGACACAAAAAAGTGACGCGCACAGCTGGGAGACCAGGGGACACTAAAGAGTGACGCACACAGCTGAGAACCAGGGGATACTAAAAAGTGACGCACAAAACTGGGAGACCAGGGGACAAAGAGTGACGCACACAGCTGGGAGACCAGGGGACACTAAAGAGTGACGCACACAGATGGAGACCAGGGGACACTAAAGAGTGACGCACACAGCTGGGAGACCAGGGGACACTAAAGAGTGACGCACACAGCTGAGAGACCAGGGGACACTAAAGAGTGACGCACACAGCTGGGAGACCAGGGGACACTAAAGAGTGACGCACACAGCTGGAGACCCGGGGACACTAAAGAGTGACGCGCACAGCTGGGAGACCAGGGGACACTAAAGAGTGACGCACACAGCTGGAGACCAGGGGACACTAAAGAGTGACGCACACAGCTGGAGACCAGGGGACACTAAAGATTGACGCACACAGCTGGGAGACCAGGGGGCACTAAAGAGTGACGCACACAGCTGGAGACCAGGGGACACTAAAGAGTGACGCACACAGCTGAGAGACCAGGGGACACTAAAAAGTGACGGACATAGCTGGGAGACCAGGGGACACTAAAATGTGACACACACAGCTGGGAGACCAGGGGACACTAAAGAGTGACACACACAGCTGGGAGACCAGGGGACACTAAAGAGTGATGCACACAGCTGGGAGACCAGGGGACACTAAGAGTGATGCACACAGCTGGGAGACCAGGGGACACTAAAGAGTGACGCACACAGCTGGGAGACCAGGGGACACTAAAGAGTGACGCACACAGCTGGGAGACCAGGGGACACTAACAAGGGACGCACACAGCCGGGACCGGAGCGCTTGGTGACGTTCAGAATTATACATTTGGACAACTGTCTGTCTGTCTCATAATAACTGTAAGTGTTTGTCAGTATATTGAAATGACTACTTTTCTCCTAATGGATATGTTGTGGGCCGTTGACGCGTGTTTGCAGCTGTGTGCCGCCACGGTACATCACTCCCTGTAAAACCACAACGCAGAGAAACAGGAAAATAAGTTTCAGAGAATGTCCAAAATATTCCCTTGTTCCTATAACATTGGTTAACATGAACAAATATTTCCCAAATCCCCACATCAGAGTGCTAAAACTTAAATGTTTCTGTGATGTAAGGTTGATCTAGTTAGGCTGGACGTTATGGCTAAAATTGTTAAAATGGATATGGTTTCCAGACGAGGGAACGGATAAAAAGCTGACTCATTTACGAGTTCAGAGACTCGTTCCTGCTCTACTCTCTTCTACACATTGTAGGTAAGTTTAAGACCAGAATACTTCACTGCACATACCTTGTTCATTTAGTTTGGGAGTGCTTTCTATTACACACTCTCACACACCTTTCAGTTTGTTGAGTCTACACGGCGACTGTTTCCACTGATGCAGCGTGAAATATATTAATAATAAAGGGATTGGGCGCTCACGTCTATCTGGTCCATATGATCTGCCGGCCCCAGTAAAAGTCACGTTCAGACTCTGGAGCCTCCGGTGCGCCGTGTTATTGACGACCTCTCCGCTCTGACGTCTTGTTCAAAGTGGTTAATGATTACCATCTCTCAATGCGTTTCAGCTGTCGCTCCGGTAATCCTCGCTGCTCCATCAGGAGGATTGTTCCTGTTGAAGCTCTGCACGTTGTTTTGGCCTCGTCTCTTCCTCCAGTCGCTCGTAAACTCATCTGTTGGATCTGAGGTAACATCAACAACACATCTGATACAATCGTGTAGGTATGAGGCACAGATTAGACACAGGTTTATGATAAATATGTTTTAAAAAGCCACGCTGTGAATCTGAAATAGGGGCGACTACAGGGGTTAATGGTTATCTATAAATCTGAGGGTCAGTGGTTCGACCCAGTCAATGTGATGACGTTTTCCTTGGGCAAGATACTGAACCCCACTTTACAGGAATGTATTCAGCTTTAAAGTGTATCTAAGCAGGAAAAGTACATGTGTTAACAGTAAGATAAGTTCTGTGGTTAGACAAGTGTATAAATGAGACGACTAAATGTCATCACGCCCAACATTAGCCTCCTTTAGCTTAGCGGTGGTGACGTGAAGTCATGTGACCGTGCTGTAGTTCCTTTATAGTCAAACATTAGCCACCTTTGGCTTAGCGGTGGTGACGTGAAGTCATGTGACCGTGCTGTAGTTCCTTTATAGCCCAACATTAGCCACCTTTAGCTTAGCGGTGGTGACGTGAAGTCATGTGACCGTGCTGTAGTTCCTTTATAGCCCAACATTAGCCACCTTTAGCTTAGCGGTGGTGACGTGAAGTCATGTGACCGTGCTGTAGTTCCTTTATAGCCCAACATTAGCCTCCTCTAGCTTAGCGGTGGTGACGTGAAGTCATGTGACCGCGCTGTAGTTAATTTATAGCCCAACATTAGCCACCTTTAGCTTAGCGGTGGTGACGTGAAGTCATGTGACCACGCTGTAGTTCCTTTATAGCCCAACATTAGCCACCTTTAGCTTAGCGGTGGTGACGTGAAGTCATGTGACCGCGCTGTAGTTAATTTATAGCCCAACATTAGCCACCTTTAGCTTAGCGGTGGTGACGTGAAGTCATGTGACCGCGCTGTAGTTAATTGATAGCCCAACATTAGCCACCTTTAGCTTAGCGGTGGTGACGTGAAGTCATGTGACCGCGCTGTAGTTAATTTATAGCCCACCATTAGCCACCTTTAGCTTAGCGGTGGTGACGTGAAGTCATGTGACCGTGCTGTAGTTCCTTTATAGCCCAACATTAGCCACCTTTAGCTTAGCGGTGGTGAGGTAAAGTCATGTGACCGTGCTGTAGTTCCTTTATAGCCCAACATTAGCCACCTTTAGCTCAGCGGTGGTGACGTGAAGTCATGTGACCGCGCTGTAGTTAATTTATAGCCCAACATTAGCCACCTTTAGCTTAGCGGTGGTGACGTGAAGTCATGTGACCGTGCTGTAGTTCCTTTATATCCCAACATTAGCCACCTTTAGCTTAGCGGTGGTGAGGTGAAGTCATGTGACCGTGCTGTAGTTCCTTTATAGCCAAACATTAGCCACCTTTAGCTTAGCGGTGGTGAAGTCATGTGACCGCGCTGTAGTTAATTTATAGCCCAACATTAGCCACCTTTAGCTTAGCGGTGGTGACGTGAAGTCATGTCACCGCGCTGTAGTTAATTTATAGCCCAACATTAGCCACCTTTAGCTTACCGGTGGTGACGTGAAGTCATGTGACCGTGCTGTAGTTCCTTTATAGCCCAACATTAGCCACCTTTAGCTCAGCGGTGGTGACGTGAAGTTATGTGACCGTGCTGTAGTTCCTTTATAGCCCAACATTAGCCACCTTTAGCTCAGCGGTGGTGACGTGAAGTCATGTGACCGTGCTGTAGTTCCTTTATAGCCCAACATTAGCTTTTTACTTCGGAAATCATAATGTGGCATTAATATGTGGAGATTATCCTGCTGAAATGTATCATAAACGTTTGTTCCTGCAATAATCCAAAATCCAATGGAAAAGTCCTATTGGATTTTTGTGGAGGGAACCAGGGAGATGCTACCTTAAGGTTAACCTACAAAAACATCAATATCTATACTAATATCTGTATTCAACACGCTTGAAAAAGTCAAGATAGTTCAGCCATTTAAAGCTTCCTTTTTCTTCGCCATTCTCATCCATATCTCTGCAGGCTTAACTGGTGACGTTGTTAGAAACCTCCATGTCAAATGGATGGAGAATTTGTCCATCACGAATCTCTTTGCTGCCCCACTCAGGACACAGATAATGCAACGCCACCCTCTTCCTCGCTTGTGTAAAACATCCTCGAGTTTGCTCTGGATCAAAGCGAGATCACACACATCCTCAGTGAACCCCGGGCGCCGAGAGAGAAAAGGTTGGCGGCTGAAAGTGTTGGAGGTTTTTCTGCAGGGAGGAAAAAGAAGCTTTAGAGAGGGAGGAGGTCAGAGGGCCTCTTTAATGACCGCTGTTCAACAAACACAGAGGTGAGGATGACTCAGAGAATGAGATCAAGAGAGGAAATAAATGTGACTCAATCCAGAGCCATTGTTTGGAATACAGACTTCCAGGGTGTTGGTTTAGGAAATGTTCAATAAGGAAGTGAGGCATATGTTAAGACACAATAAAGCTGGAATGTGTTATACCTTACAGCAGGGAAAGAATATGCACGCTCAACCAAATGATACTGAACATCAAGAAAGGAAACATTTCTAATGATATATTACCGTCTAGTTGTTTTATGGTCGTTTTGTGTTTGTCTTTCTTTTGAGTCTCTGGTTTCAATCTCCATGAGAAATAATCTTTTGTTGGATGAATATAATATAGTCTTTATTTAAATCACAAATTAAAACTCAACTTTTAGAGCTGTTTTAATTGCTGATGTTTAAGGTTTTTAATGATTTCTTAATGAAATGTATCATCAATTATGTATTTATGTATGATCATTTCTATTACAAATACTGTTTCAATTAAACAATCGCAAGTTTTTCTGAATTAATGAATTAATTGCAGATAATTTGCAGGATTCATGCGTCCCGTCACTTCTTATTAAAGTGTTTAAAGCCCCCCCCCCCCCGTGAGACGCATTGAGATGCGCGGACACACTCTGGTAATGAGTTTGTGTCGTCTTCTGTCTTCGCTTTATCAACGTCTGTCTCGATCTCATGAGGACGGCTGAGCGGGTAAATTGGTGTGAACGTGGAGTGCTTGTTTTCCAAAGCAAAACAAATTTAGGACCTGTTGATTTGCAGACACGCTCCGTTATCTGTGTGAGGAAATGGCAAATCTGCAATTACACATCACCACATCACAGTCCTGGTGACCGCTGACGGATCTGGAAAAAATTGCAATTATTCTGAGGAAGGAGAATCCGTACCAAACAGAACTTTAATACTTCTTGTAGGCCTGGATATATCTGCGACTCAACAGTACTTAAAGGTCTCCTATTATACTGTTCTTCATCAATATATCACAGGTCTCAGATATATACAGAGCCTGTCTCTGATTGGCTGAAACACCAAACAGATCATTGCAGCATTACCCATAATCCCCTCTGTTTCAGCCCTGTTTCCAAAATGCTGATTCTCTGTCTGTTACTTTAGATGAAAATAAGGAGCCCCTCCCCACGCCCCTCTGAGAGACATTTGGTTACAAACAACTCAATGGTGCTCTAGAGGAGATTCAGGTGATAAGGGGGGGGGGGGGTTACCTTGGTTGCTGATTGGCTAATGGTTACACAAGACAAAACATCGTTATGACATCATAAAGTGGCCAAAATCTGATCAGCTCATTTTCAGACAGGTTTTTATAGAAATGGATCAAAAAGAGAGAGAATCTTTGTTCCTGAAACTTTCAGAGTCTCTTTCCACAGAGGGGACACATGTTGATGTAGAAGAGACATGAAGAAGAGGGGACACATGTTGATGTAGAAGAGACATGAAGAAGAGGGGACACATGTTGATGTAGAAGAGACATGAAGAAGAGGGGACACATGTTGATGTAGAAGAGACATGAAGAAGAGGGGACACATGTTGATGTAGAAGAGACATGAAGAAGAGGGGACACATGTTGATGTAGAAGAGACATGAAGAAGAGGGGACACATGTTGATGTAGAAGAGACATGAAGAAGAGGGGACACATGTTGATGTAGAAGAGACATGAAGAAGAGGGGACACATGTTGATGTAGAAGAGACATGAAGAAGAGGGGACACATGTTGATGTAGAAGAGACATGAAGAAGAGGGGACACATGTTGATGTAGAAGAGACACGAAGAAGAGGGGACACATGTTGATGTAGAAGAGACATGAAGAAGAGGGGACACATGTTGATGTAGAAGAGACATGAAGAAGAGGGGACACGTGTTGATGTAGAAGAGACATGAAGAAGAGGGGACACATGTTGATGTAGAAGAGACACGAAGAAGAGGGGACACGTGTTGATGTAGAAGAGACATGAAGAAGAGGGGACACATGCTGATGTAGAGGAGACATGAAGAAGAGGGGACACATGTTGATGTAGAAGAGACATGGAGAAGAGGGGACACATGTTGATGTAGAAGAGACATGAAGAAGAGGGGACACATGTTGATGTAGAAGAGACATGAAGAAGAGGGGACACATGTTGATGTAGAAGAGACATGAAGAAGAGGGGACACATGTTGATGTAGAAGAGACATGAAGAAGAGGGACACATGTTGATGTAGAAGAGACATGAAGACGTTTCTACTATTCCTCGTGTTGGAGCCATTTAGGGTTTTTGGAATTTAAAATAAAAAATTCTAGGAGATATATTTTTGAGTTTTTAAGTAATATTATTATATATAGTGTTAAGAACTGTTAAGCTATTTCTTTGTATGCTTTGTATACTTTTGGAATCAACTGTGATACAACATATTGCATATAAAAGACAAGCATTAGCCACTTCACCTGCTATATCGTTATGCTTATCGGTTTAAAATTCAATTCAAGGCTTTATTGTCACGTACACAGCAGCTACAGTGTAGATATGGCAATGAAACACTTAGGTCACAGGCTCCTCTAACAGTGCAACATGAATATATATATGACATAAAACTAATAAAACCAATAAAATAGTGCAAGAAATAACAGAATAGAAATAAAATAATGCAAGAAAATGTTGTCATTTTATGGAAAACTGAGCTGTTGTCCAGATGGCAGCAGACGCGTCACTCAGGAATCTAATTGGACGACAGAGAGAGGTTTTTTATTGTCCTGCAGATCCAGCGAGGAGCAGCGTGTCCCTCTGATGGACCTGCAGGAATATATTTGACTCGTCTGTTGAGAGATGCCTTGTTAGTTTAACGCTGCGCACCGTGCAACATGTGAAGCAGCTAGAAGACAACTCTTTATTACAGATCAGGAATCAAACCTGAAGACACCGAAGTGTTAGAACAACTGAGATAAGGCGGCTTAGTTCATCTTAATTTGAACTAGAATTAATATTGACGAGTGCAATATCCAAATAGCAAGTCCTAGCCTACAAAAGGTATTCGACATAACAATCTAGAAGTCACAGTGTATAACATTTAATATATTTTTTAACGATAATGTGAAACCCTCTAATATCGGGAATTGGAAAATCAGTCAAACTAATGAAGTTAATTTTTCCTTTATCCAAATTGTGCAGCTCTAAACTGAACACATCGTCAAAAAGTCAGCAAACCAAAAAGAAACCATTGACTTCCAGATGAGGGGACAGGAATAGAATATATCTTTATTGTCATCATACCAAAAGTACAACGACATTTGGGCATTCTGGCTACGCATCACTCATTCACCAATGGGTAATGTTTAGATGGATTTGAGGAACTTCCCCTCGATTCTATTGGCTCTGACGGTTAAAAATAGATGTCAATCAAAATCGACGAGGGGGGCCAGAGATATGGAAAATGCGGTACCACTTTACAATAAGACTACCCTTATAAAGGATTAGTTTGTAAACGCTTTATTAATCATTAAGAACCATTTATAAACCAGTTCTAACATAGTTGTCATACATCAACACAGGCTCACTATTTGGCAAGATGACTAAGCCTTATATTGGCTACCTAGAGCTTACTTCGTCTTCTTCATCAGCCAGCATCCTTGGTATCTGTTGTTCACTGAGTTGATTCTCCCCCCATCCATCTTGATGTTTCTTGGCATCTCTTTATGACCATCTATTTACGAGTTACTAACATTTATAGTTGCCAAAAGGGAGCCTTATTGTAAAGTGTAAAACACATTCCCATTTATTAATGAGTTACTACCGTTTCTAATAAGGCTTAGCAGTGCAGATACATGTGGGCTCACTATTTGGCAAGCAACCGGTCACAGTTGCCCTGTTTATCTCATGTCTTATAAAAGCTTATTAAGGATGTATAAAGTGTTCACAACCTAATTAATAAATGAATTACAAACTATTCGTAAACCCTTTATAAGGGTAGTCTTATTGTAAAGTGGTACCGAAAATCCACCCAAATGGCCCCAGAAGTGGGTTTATTTTTCTAAATCTCTCTAAAAAGGTCAAATTTCACTTGTTTTGCATCAATGTTGATACAGGGTACTTATTATATGTTATAGTTTGGATTCCTAAAGCTTTTAGTCTACTATCCCATCATTCAAGGGTGGTGTTCACTATAAGTAATGGTTTATTTTTAGACGGACACAATAATTTACATGTTTTTACTATGTTCAATTTGAATTTACTTTAAAACAAAAAAATGCTATATTGATTCTGACTCTTCTACATCCAACTCACAGGTTTATCATTGCTTTGAGAAAAAAGATGATTAATTTACCCCTTTTAGAAGTTAAGTTATGGTCATTTGTTCTGGGAATGTCATTTTCGAGCCTGAGACCTGAAAAAAAGGCTCGGGGCTTAACTGGTTGAATGTACAACACGGTATAAATATGTGTATTTCTAACTATGTGTTCATAAAGGGTTATAGTAAACAAAAGATGCAAGTAAAAAAGCCATACATATTTCTAAATAGTAGTGGTTGCAGTCTTTGAGGGGTGGAGGTGTGTTTATGAATGTTCACAGTTGTTTTAATGTGCTCTAAAACTGACTCATTTTAGCGCTTTAAGACTCATTCCTGCTCCACCTTTTACAGCAAGGTCGCCTCCTGAAGGTGGACGTGACGGCTGTGTGCAGGTTGGTGTGAATAGATTTCCTCCGGTGCTCTGACCCTCCTCCTGTGACCCAGCTGGTGATTGTGTGATGGAGCAGGTTTGATCCCTGTGCTGATGCTGGGCTTCTGATGGACGAATCTTCTTTGATGCAGCGACAAGATTGAATCTCAACCCCCTCCTTCTGTCTGTGGCTTACAGTCGACCAAATAGCACCATCAGACCTTGCATCCAAACCCTTCAATAGTGTTTTATCGTCAGAGATTATAGATGTTTTATCTCCTGTATATTTTCTACTTTTAATGCTATTTTAATTCTATTTTAAATGTCTGCTATCATGCTATTTTTAGGCATATATTATGGGTCTCAGATATATACAAATATATTAAAAACATGTCTATGAAGGGTTTTGCTCAAAATACCAATAGACATCCCTCATATCCCTCTGTTTCAGCCCTGTTAGAGAACTGCTGATTCGTGGTCCTTAGCTTGAAAAATAAATGAGGAGGTGGAGCTAATGCCTGCTCAGAATTACACAGAGTTAAAGCTAAATGCTGCCGTGATTAAACGCCATCATGTTCCAAACAACATCAAGGATTATATCTAACAGTTTGGAGCTCAAAGGCTTTCTCTCTTGCCGGTTATACCACAAGGTGAGTTCCTTTTTACTTCCTGCTTCTTCACACACATGCTCTCCAGTACAGGTTAGCTCTGAGTGTTAGCGATGCTAATGTAAACACCGACCATATTACGTCCAAAACAGTCGGGCATTGTTTCTGATAGCAACGTTTCTGATAGGGCCGTGGGTCTAAAGCAGTGTTTCTCAAACTTTTTCATACCAAGGACCACTTAACAAATCTCCAAATCACATAGTTTTTCTAGAACAGATTATAAGTCGCCTGAAAATGGTACAAACAAGTGGCAACATGTGTGACGAAGGTGTTGCGCTGGGCTATATCACGCAATCGAAAGTTGAAACTTAAGCTCGCTCCATTGCGGAGATATTCCCGCGAGAGTGCGGAAAACTTACATTTATTTATTTATTTCAAATGTGAAATGTTACCAACATACTCACGGACCACTAGGGGGCGCTCACGGACCACTTTGAGAACCACTGGTCTAAAGAACGCCCACATTTCAGATATTACGTCATATCGGACGCAAATCTGGATCACCTCCGTTTTAGCCCCGTTTTTAGAGATGTGGGTACGGAGGAAAAGAGAGAGGGTTTTGTTTTCTGACGCTGCGTGAGTTCCCTGACATGTTGATGTATAAAAGACATCAAAAAGTGCATTTTGCATGATAGGTCCCCTTTAAGATGATAGGTCCCCTTTAAGATGATAGGTCCCCTTTAAGATGATAGGTCCCCTTTAAGATGTTTTAATTCTAGTATTGTTTATTTGTACTCTTTAATTTCTACTGAAGTGCAATGCCTTGTTTTGTTGTTGTTTTTTTATGCTGCTGCAATGGAAACATTTCCCAGTTTGGGATCAATAAAGTACTTATCTTTATCTCAGGAGGTGCCATTTGATTCTGACCAGTGATATTTGTTGTATTCGGCACAATTAGGATCTCACATTTTATTATCTACCTTATTTAAATTCCTGTTGACATTTCCGTCCACTTGGTGCAGTTCTTCTGATCCTCTCAGGTTATAAAGAAAGGTCTCGCAGTAAAACTGAAGTGTATTCCTGTAGCTCCCAGCAGTCCTTCCTCCTGTGTGTTTGGTGTCTTCCTGTATTAATCGGAGCGAGCAAAGAGGCTGATTTATGACTGTCTCTGGACCACTTCACTTTCACTCTGAGTTCTGTGAAGGAACAACACACAGGCTAATGGTGAGAGCAGACCCTAACACATACAGCATGTCGAAATGAATTTCACGCTCATATAATGAAAGTATAGGAAGACAGTTTAATTGCAGATGATTCATCGACAATGTAAATTATTTTTAAGAGTCTCCAATACGCAGATTGTGTTACCCTTTTGTAGCTAGGCTAGCTGTTTCCCCTTGTTTACATTATGTGTGCTAAGCTATGCTAACTGGGCTCTTGGCTTTCTCTTTGTCGTTTTTATTGAAACCAATACCAAATCAGACGTTGTGTAAACTGTAGTATGAGTGTAGGTTAGACAGTTAGTCAAGTGTACATTTTTACACACCAGCAATCTTTTCTCTACATGGCAGGCTTTGGAAACAAAAGCCTAAAAGTTATAGGCGTACCTCGTCAACTCTAAATCTCCAAACGGGTCAGCGCTCCGTTTTCATCTGTCTCGCGCTCGACCCAGAACTGTCTGCAAGCGTCTTTATTGGTTTTCACACCTTTCCGTATTTAGTTATCCCTACTTTTTTACAGTTTTTGTTTTTACTCAACCCTAAACTACGATCTTTTCCTGGACGGACAGAAGGTCATTTTAAGAATATTTCATGCATGCTACAATCAGACGTTGCTGGACACTGATAGGGGGAAAATAGGACCAAATTAAGGAATAACTTTTCATAGGAACTGTTGTATCTCTGTCTGCACTTCACTTTATATACTAATAAAGGACTGGCTTATCTATAGCCAGTTGAGTAGCACTTGAAATGTTTGGCTCTATGAAACCTGATGTACTTATATGATTCTGTTTTCTTCAAGGTTGTGTCTTCCTGGTCGAATGTACTTATTGTAAGTCGCTTTGGATAAAAGCGTCAGCTAAAGGTAATGTAATGTTTAAGTGTAGTTTAGAACAGTAAGTAAAGTGTACATTTTTACACACCATGAAAACGTTTCACATTCACATCGCAGGCTTTGGAAACAAAAGCCTAAAAGTTATAGGCGTACCTCGTCAACTCTAAATCTCCACACGGGTCAGTGCTCTGTTTTCTGCCATCTCTCGACCCAGAACTGTCTTTGAGCGTCTTCATTTATTGTTTTTATGCTTTTCAAGAACATTATTCATCGTTTTGCCACTTTGTTTTTACTTAACCCTAAACTACGATCTTTTTCTGGACGGACAGAAGGTCATTTCAAGAATATTTCATGCATGCTACAATCAGACGTTGCTGGACACTGATAGGGGGAAATAGGACCAAATTAAGGAATAACTTTCCATACTGTTGTTTTGTGGTTTTTACACACCAGGAATCTTTTCTCTACATCGCAGCCTTTAGAAACAAAAGCCTAAAAGTTATAGGTGTACCTCGTCAACTCTAAATCTCCACACAGGTCAGCGCTCTGCTTTCCTACATCTCCCGACCCAGAACTGTCTGCGAGCTTCTTTATTTATTGGTTTTCACGCCTTTCCGTATTTGGTTATTCATAGTTTTTGCCACTTTGTTCTTACTTAACCCTAAACTACGATCCCTTCCTAAACCTAATCAAGCTGTTTCCTGGAAGGACAGAAGTCAATTTCAATAATGTTTTATGCATGTTACAAACAGTGGTACAATCAGACGTTGCTGTACACCAATAAGGGGAACATAGGAATAAATTAAGGAATAACTTTTCATTGGAAATCACAGGAACGGTGGTAGTAGGCTTTGGAAACAAAAGCCTAAAAGTTATAGGTGTACCTCGTCAACTCTAAATCTCCACACAGGTCAACGCTCTGTTTTCCTCTCTGTCTCGCTCTCGACCCAGAACTGTCTGTGAGCTTTTGTACTTTTAGTTTTTTACGCCTTTCCGTATCTGGTTTAACAAGAACATTATTCCTAGGTTTTGAAATGTTGTTTTTACTTCATTCTAAACTACGATCTTTTCCTAATCAGTTTTTTCCTGGACGGACAGAAGGTAATTTCAATAATGTTTTATGCATGCTACAAAAAGTGGTACAATCAGACGTCGTTGGACACGGATAGGGGAAATAGTAACAATTTAAGGAATAACTTTTCATAGGAACTGTTGTATGAGTGTAGGTTAGACAGTTAGTCAAGTGTACATTTTTACACACCAGCAATCTTCTCTCTACATCGCAGCCTTTGGAAACAAAAGCCTAAAAGTTATAGGCGTACCTTGTCAACTCTAAATCTCCACACAGGTCAGCGCTCTGCTTTCATCTCTGTTTCGCTCTCGACCCAGAACTGTCTGCGAGCCTCTCAGAGCCTCTCGGATGGACAAGAGCAAAGAGGAGAAAGATGGCGTCAGAGAGAGAGAGAGGTTGTGAGATGTGGGAGCGAGGAGTGTTTGGCAGCACTCGTCTTGTTTGCTCAGTAAACCCTCCCGAGGCCCGTGTTTTTTTGTCGCCGGGGGAAATGCTCGCATTGTTGGGCGCGGAGACCGTGGTTACGCGCCGGCCAACAGGTTGGGACAAACAACACGATGAAGGTCAGCTAATATAGCACTTAATTCCACTTCCTGGTCCCCATGACACCCAGGCAGGGTTTATTTGAAGATCCCAGAGCCTGAAGTCACTCTGCACTTTGTTCAGTCCATGAGTATTTCTGCTCCAGGCCAACAGATATTAATGTATTCAGATGAGAGGGGAGGGAGGGAGAGAGGATACAGGCGAGAAAGAGAGGAGGGAAATTCTAGATTTCTTCTTCGTTTCGTGTGTTTTTTCCATATTTTGTCCAATTTCTTCTATCAAAAAAAGTTAAATCCAATTTTTCACATCCTTAAAGATAAATGATTAGTTTTTAAAGAGAAAAAGCTAAAATATTTACTAAATATTATGTGGATTAATTGATATCATAGTCATGCCTGTACCTGTTATTTTATGGCATTTTAAAAATCCCTAAGTTCCCAGTTTTTTTTATTATCAATCAATCAAAAATAATAAAATGCCATAAATCCCAGGCGGAAATAAGGTTTCCCACAATATTAGAATAAAATAAAGAGTTATATAAACACAAATTGAAGTAATGTGCAATAAAATATCTCAAATTGGCTTTACATTGACAAACTACAACATTTAAATGTTTCTATATGTATTTGTACCCAATAAAAATGTAATTATATGATATGTTATTATTATATATACACTGAAAAGAGCCATTGTACATAACGAGTACTTTTACTTTGAATGATTTAAGCGCATTTAGCTGATAATACATCCAGTTTGACTTGTAACGGAGTATTTAAAGACCAACGTTGTTATTTACCTAAGGAAATTATCTTGTACTTCTTGCGCACTAGTTATGGGACGTACAGTAGTAGTCATTAATACAAAATATGACATTTAAAATACTTAAAGTGTCTGTTAAAAAGTGTTTGGCATCAACAGAGACATAATCAATGCATTTAAATACAGTAAATGGCTTTTGCAAAAGAAATGCAGTCCAAAAATCAAAAAACGTGTTTGACTTGATGGTAATCAAGTATTTTGGCTTTTTAGTCACATTTAATCAGCACATAAAATGTCAAATTACTTTTAGTATGTGTTAAACTCTGTTTGGTGTCCTCGTGT